TTTATTTCCAATAATGATAGGTTTGGTCCTCCATATATTCTGACATTTACTGCTTTTTAAAATGAGTATAATGAATATTTAGCCAAAAAACCCAACAGAGAAATTACATGATGACCCACCTTTCMTGGCCTGTAATTATGTAACGATGCAGAAAAATCACGTTTCATGTTTGCATCTTTAATGAGGTGTTTTGGGATTTAATTTTTGCAACAAATGTTTTGTATTTTCCTTTTAAATGTTTTCGTGTTTCTTGTCTTTAACTCTTGTGTTCAGCGGCTTTATTTACGTGATATTTTTGTTTTTTGTTATTTTTCCCATCAGCCCCAGCCCCCTCCCCACATGCAGCAGATGGCTCCTCTTCCTCCGCAGCACATGCCCATCAACATCCCATACTCCCCCGGCCCCCCCAGCATGATCTCTGCGCTGGACGAGGGTCCGAAGGAGCGCCGCGTCATCACCCTTCCACCCATAAGAGAGCAGGGACGAGCCCCGCCCCCTGCACCGAAGACCCGCCCCCCGAGCTCCAGCGAGAGCAGCCGCAGCGGCTWCGGTCGGCGGGAGGAGCGAGGGGCTCCGGGGAGGCGCTACCCCTCCCCGGCCCGTTCCAGAGGCATTCCCCGGAGCTACAGCGAGGAGTCTCTGGGGGGCCGGAGCCGCGGCAGGTCCCAGGTCAGCATGGACCGCAACCGGTCCCACTCCAGGGACGACATCTTCGACAGCCGGTCCAGAGGCGGCTACTCCAGAGGATCCTGGAGCTCGGACGAGGATGACAGCGTGAGCAGGAGAGGAGGAAGAGGAGCGTCAGGAGGAGGAAGGAGAGGAGGAGGAGGATGGTCCGAGAAACCTCCCAGCTACACRGAGTACGAACCGGGCCAGAAACCAGGAAAACGCTACACTGTAAGAAAMGCCCTGCTTCAGGTTTACACAGGGGCGGAGCTAAATTTACTGTAAGAGGAGGGGGCCAAGGTCTTATTCAGGGGGGCACATGTAAAAAACGATTCAAGTTGGCCACCACAGCCAGGTTCAAATGGCTCAAATTCAGCTCTTTGAAGATGTATTCAGCTGAAAATTTGTGATTGTAGCTAAGAATTATAAAAAAACAGACTGAACGCTAGTCAGTTTCAAGCTAAATGCTAATTTTACAAAGAGCTATTTTCAGCATTTTATTAGACAAACAAAACTGAGAATTGGTGTCGTAGTAGCCAAAAACAACCTTTACCAAATGATAAATGCTAATCAAAAGTTTTATGTGGTGTAGCCAAGAATGARTGCTAGTCCCAATTTAAGCTAATCACTAATGCTAATTAATTTAGCAAAGGGCTATAATTCAGCTGTTTTCACCTGAAAGTTTGATTGTAGCTAAGAATCATTAGTAAAAAAAAACGTGCTGAATGCTAGTCATACTTTAATGCTAAATGCTAATGCTAATTTTACAAAGAGCTACAATTCATATTTTTTAGACAAAACTGAAAATTGATGTCGTAGTATTGGAAAATAATCTTTAACAAATTCTGAATTCAGAGGTGAGCACAGATAAATCGTTATTAGCAGAACTATTTAATGAGCAGTTTATAACTAATAACGAATACGACTTGCACTAAAGTAATATTGTCTTTTTTATTGCTAAAATATTACAGCATGCATCACTACATTGTTGATATTTTCTGTAATATTTCCTTTCACGTGCAGCAGTGACTCATGAAGCTGCATTACCTCATCAACACGTTTTCGTTCACTCTCCTCTAATCTACAGACCAGATACTTTCAGTTTACAGGCAGAAACACAGACTTTAATATCAATTCTAAGCTAAGGGCTAATGCTAATTAGAGAAAGAAATATATTTCAGACAGTTTTAGACACATAAAGCTAAAAACAGATATAACAGCAGCCAACCATCTCCTACAAATTCTGAATGCTAGTCAAAAATTCAAGATGGCCACCAGAGCTAATTTTAAATGGCATTTTTGCTAAGACTGAGCTGATGCTTGGTGTGTTGGCTGATGAGAGCAATCCCTAATAGACTCTGATCACAAGTCAAAAATCCAAGATGGCCACCAAATATAAATCCAAATGGCTACAATTCTGCTAWTTTTAGACACGCTGAGCTGAAGTTTGTTGTGGTGGGAGCTTCGACCACCACCATGTTTTACAATCGAAACATGAAATGAAATTTTGCGGCCACACGGCAGAATCCATCAACGTTTCTCAAGGAAGTTTTCTTGTTTCGTGTCATTGCTGTGTTACAGACCGGTATCTAGATGTCACTCAAATTTCATTAAACCCAGAATTAATTGTTAATTGCCACGTGTGATCCCCCCCCCCGCTTGTCAATCATTTGGGGGGGCACCTGGGGTGGCCAATCAGGTGCCAGAATGGCACTTGCCACCCCGGCCAACCCCTTTGGCTCCGCCCCTGAATTTACAGTTTCTGTAAAGATAACCCACTAGTTCATGACATATTTTGCTTACAGAGACAGATCAAGTGAATTTAAAGTTGTTTTGTTTCAGGACAAGAGTTCTCGCAGCGGCACCAGCGTCGTCATCTGAGCCGGCCCGCCCTGACCTCTGACCTCTGACCTCTACACCACACATCTGACACGGTAAACATGAAGGTTCGACGCTCCGACGTGTAAAAAGACTCAAACAAATTCATGTTTCACTCAAAGACTCAACTGTTTGTTGTAAATTATGTTTTATTTTTATTTTCTTTTAGTAAAAATAAGGTTTCTGTGATGGCTGACAGATCCAGACTCTTATCTGTTTTTAAAACTTTCTGACGGGAAGCAGAAAATAAACCTTCATGCAGTTTCTAAAGTTGGGGTTTGGGACCCAACGGTGGGTCATGAAACCACAGCTGAGGGGTCTTGATGGTTTACATGAACTAAATTAAATAAGATTTATCCACAAACATCACAGAATAAAACAAATTAAACTGATAAGTTGCACAGTTCCTGATGCTGGTTGTTTTTTGTGTGTTTTTAGGAATGTTTTTACTCTCAAACTCAGGAGTTCACAAACTTTTCAGCTCAAKTTAATGACGTAAAGATTTAAACATCGACACAAAAGTAGATTAAACTCATTTTATTTTGCTTTTATCCCCACTAGAAAAGATTTTTGTTKCTTTTTTAATAAAAAGTGAGAAGACGCTTGTAGGAGTTATTTTATTTATCATCTCAGGACCTGATCCGGTGTTTTGTGACCCACAGTGGAGCCCCGACCCGAGGTTTGAGAAGCCCTGGCTTTGATTCGGTCCCAAGTTCTTTTMTATTTAAGAGTCTGAAGCTGAAAGTTTGAGAGCTGCTGTGTTACATTAATGTTTGACTTAATCAMTGAGCTAAATAAATTTCTCTCAGGGTCAAAAACCCAATATTTAAATCTGAAAAGTGAAGAAATCCTTTTTGTAWAGAAGTAATTTTTCCTGGATGTCTTGAATATCTGCAGTGAATTTGTTTTTTGAAGTAAATTGTTTGCAGCATTAGAAGTGAAACCATATTGATGCAATAAATTTGCACTTAATGCTCATCAGCAGAAAAAAAGCTTGTTTGTAAATAAGTTCTTCAGGTGGTGGAGGTGAGACAGTTACTGAAATTAGTTCTTAGAGCGAGAATTTGAGGCGTTTTCCTCCTTTGGATCTGTTTTATTTTTAAGGCTGTACAGTCTGTTTGCATTGATGATGAATAAACTTTTGTAACTTTTAAGAATAATTGTTTTTACTCTACATTCACTTCAAAATAATTAAATCTGTCTGAACAAAAGCAGTTAGAAATCACAAGGTTCTATCGTTTTAATTTACAACCAGGCTCAATTACACATAGACTTTTAATTTGAAAAGGCCCCTGAACTTCCTGTTAGTGATAATGACTGACTGCAGCTGGTAGTTYCTGTTGTCKGTCTGTCAGATGCARAGAAACTGGTTCCTGTGTTCTGGATATATGGAGCTAAAATGAGGCTAAAAAGTTTGTTCAAAATGTTTTTTTGAAACTGAAAAAAAAACCGTCAGAATCTGACAAGTAGTTCAGAACTTTTTTCAGTTTCAATTTTTGTTTGTTTCATATTATTATTATT